GTCACAGCACCAAGCCTGAGAGAGTTCAAGAAGTCTTTGGACAACGCTCTCGGGCAGATGGTGTGGACTCCTGGGGATGAACCTGTGCAGGGCTGAGTTGGACTCGATGATCCCTGTGGGTCCATTTCAACTCAGAATCTTCTGTAATTCTCTGACATGCCAAGTTCCCTTTCTGGCATTTTTTCCTGGTACAACCCAACATCCTCACAGAAGCCGCAGCGGGCGCACACGCACCCCAAGTAACCCACACCCGCTGCCCGCCCGAGGACGCACCCAGGGCCGGCCCCTCCGGCTCCCGGCCACAGGTGCCCGGTCAGCGGCACCACACCACAGGCTACTCCGGCTGCTCCCGCCGGCGCCCCCTGCCCGCAGCAGCGCCGCTTCCCGGCCCCGGCGCCACCGCCTCCTTTCGGGGCGGGCCCTGGACCAGCCTGTAGGCGTTGGAGGGGGAGAAAGTAACATGGTGGCCGTTTCCTCCCTAAACAGGAGCGACGGCGTGTCTGGCAGCCCCTGAGGAAGCGGCGGGCGCGGGCAAAAGCTCGGGGCGGGGAGCGCCCCCTCTACTGGCGCGTACGAGGGGCGGCTGTCGGCGTGCGGGCCGGCGGCAGGTGAGCGGGGCGGCAGGGAGCGGAGGGAGGGGGCCTGACAGGCGAGGAGAGAGAGGGCTCTGGACCCGGCGCCTCTCCCACCTCCCACCCCCCCTGCCGCGGGGCGTGGAGCTCCGGCGGAGGACCCCTATTCTCCCCCCTGCTCCTCGGCCTTCTCCTGAATGCTCCAGAGGAAAATTCCCTCTTCACTGGACAGGCAGGGGGTTCGGAGTGTTCGCCCGGCGGCGAGCTGGTCCCTGAGAAGGGCTCCTGCCCTGCCCCAGCAGAGCTTCCGTGCTGGGGCTCGTCCTTACTCCGCACCGCGCGGGGCCGGGAGGGGCGGAGACGCTTTCCGGGCTTTTTCACTTTAATTATTATCATGATAATGGTTATTATCTCCCCGAGGGAGAGCGGGGCTCTTCGGCTGCGCAGGTGGCAGCCGCTGCAGGTGAGTCCCCGGGCAGCTCCCTTCCTTATTTCTCCATTTTCCTCTCCCTTTCCATACCCCGACTCCTCCCCTGAGCTCCGGCGTCAGCGCTTTTAACCCTTACAGGGGTCTGCGGTGAAATGGAGACGGACAGTGGCGGTGCCGTAGCTGTGGGAAGGGTTGTTTGAAGAGCAAGGGTGGTCCCCCTGCCCGCCCCCTCCCCGGCCTGCACCCTGCTGATAAAGGCACTGTAGCTCGTAGACAGGCAGGGACTGATCGTATCAGTGAGAAACGTACAGTTCTGCAGATTTGACAAAAGGAAGAGCTAAAGCCATAATTTAATCAACCTGTACTATCATCTGAGGATATCTGACGTGTCTTTGCTGCACGACCAGATAGTCCGTGTAACGACGGGATCTGGTGATATGCCTTCATCTGTCAAATAGTGAAAAGTAATAGTCACAGAGCTTTAAATACGATGTAAGCTGATTAACTGTGCTGTTAATGTCAAACACGGTCTTTCAAAGTTTTCAGAGCACAATTTAACATAATTGTTGATTCTGCAACCTTGGAAAGCATGTGAAAACTAAACATTATATTAAATCTAAATTTAATGTCTCTTCTATACTAGTCTTTTTAATGCTGTTCTCTTTTGCTGTTTAACTCAAACATATGGCACACATGGACTGTTGTGTTGATACTAAACTATGCCTGTGGCTAAGCTTTTATATCTTCGTGAAGGCATAGCCTGTAAACAAACAGGATATTTGATCTTTCTTTTTTTTTTTCTGCAAGCTGTGTTAGTGTGACATCGCTAATATTTTCTAATATGAAGTTTTTAACCAAGATACATTTGAAGTGTGCACATGGGCATGTTAGTAAAAAGAAAATTATTTGCTGTTAGTTTTGTTGGCTATTTCTTTGTGTAGACTAAACACAAAGTTAGCAGAAGTTTTTACATCTCTCTTTTTAAGTGTCATGTTAGGAGTTGAGGCAGTAAATGTTCTGTTCTTGGTGAAAAAATAACGATGGAATGCAAAGTACTTCATATCTGTTTGGAAAATGAAAGAATTTGTATTTGTATTTTTTATGAAAAGCAGTCATGACCAAACTTAAGTGACTAACCAAATTACTGACCATACTACCATATATATTTCAGATCCTTGGCACAAAGAACACAAAGTAAAAAAACTCAAAACTGTTAGTTCAAGAATGCTTTTATTATAAATGTGACTGTCTCTTTTAAGTTTTTTGTTTGTTTTTGTTTGGGTGGGGTTTTTTTGTTTGTTTGTTTTGTTTTGTTTTGTTTTTTTTTCTTTTGTTTAAGAATTGACTGCTTTTTACCATTCCAGTGGATATTAAATGCTAATAATGCATTTTTGTCTTGAGTAGTGCAAGGAAAGAGTTCAGTAGAAACCAGAAATGTTTGCCTACATGATTTCTGACTTCTATGTTAAAACAGATAGTAGTAGAACTTGATGCCTATTAACTGCTAAACTCTCAATGATTGGATCTTTTAAAAAAAGGATATCTTACAAGTTAAGATGGACATTTTCTTAAATACTTATGGATAAATATAATGTTACATTTGGCTGTTTATTCATAGGTTAAGGTTGGCCTCTCCATAGCCCACAGTAAAGTAATGACATCTTCTTGGAGCATGTCTTACATATTTGTTTGCTTATTTGAAGATCGTGTGTGTGATTTCTTTCTGATCAATGTTTACATGGTTTTCATTAAAACAAAACAAAAAACACTCAGGCAAAACTGGAATGTTAAGTATTGGTATGGATAGCATTCATCTGACTCAATGTGTATTGAATTCTCATTTGGAGTGGCAGTGAAATACATATTGTCGAAATGCAGTTCTTGAAATGGTACCTTTGGAAGCTTAGGTCTTTTTGTTAGGCATGTGTTTGACCAGTAGAGAACTGAGTTTGGAATTCAGCCTCGATATACTTTAAGGACAAATATGTTCCAGTTTTCATCTTGATGCCCTGTCTGGGTTTACTTAAAAGTACAATAGGAGAAAAGTCTTGGTAGAATGAGGTAGGACGGGTAAATTGGCAAAGCTGTAAGAGAAAGGTAAGGTAGTCCTTTGGCTGTTACGTCTTACTCTTAAGCTTTCAGATAGATTTCAATGGCAGGTTATGGGCATGGAGCAGTATTTATAAAGGCTAGCATATTTGGTGATTTTCTTACTGGTTTCATGCCCTTCTGACTGAAATGACAATAAAAGGCACCTCTAAGCTCTAAATGTGGCATCTTTTTGTTTAATGGTAAATTGCACTCTAGAAGGTTATCTGACAGAAATGGTTTTTTCCCTGTGCTTGCTGGTCATGCCAAGGCAAGGGTTGTCCACCTTCAGCATACTGCTTTCTTGAATAGTATTCCAGATATTGAAGGCCTTGGTGTACGTGACCTATAAAATAGTTCTTGGATATCATAGTCATAGTTACTAAATGGCTTCCCATGTGACTTGTCAGATAGTTGTCCGTGCTGCTTATTCAAGTAATGTAAAATGAAAATCAGTTTGCTGCACTGTGTATCATGAGATGTGCTTTCCTCCTGTAGTGCTTCAGATTGTAAACTGAAGTTCTGGGATTTTTTATCTGCTTTTGAACTTCTGGTTTGCTGCTGAAATTGTGCCTCTCTCAAAGTTCTTGCCCTGGGTTGTACAGAAATGTGATACTGCTTCTTTCCCATCCACTGAAAAAGGTAGTGGTGTTGAAAATACTACATCCCCATGATGATAATGAGAATGTTTTCATTCTGCAAATTTGTGGAGATAAAGGCTGACAAGTCTGACCTCTGTGCAAATGGTTATTAGAAATGAAGTGACTAAAGTTCAGTATTGTTTCTGGACTGACTTCTGGTGAAGTGTGACTCTTTCATGTTCTCGTGAGTTATTCTTGTGAGTGCTCTGTCACAAAATGTGAGCATGCAGATTTATTCTGAAGTTTCAGGAATATGGTTACACTGCTTCAGGGTATAAAATGTGGTCCTGATGTTCACTATTTACTTTGAAAGATGGGAAACTTGAAAAAAGGTTTCAGAATTACTAAGCTTATAAGTATGTTCTCTGTTTACGCATGTGATTTTCTTGTTTTGTTTTTCTTTTTTTTAAAAAAACAGCAAACTCAAGATTGTTGATACAGAGAACAGTAAAAACGTACCCATGATTTCTTGGTGAATGTTGGCTTGCATGTCATTAAACACTCCATTTGCTTTGTTTCAGTTAAATGCAGTGAGCCAGTTTTCCTCTACTCTGCTTTCGTCTTCATATTTAGTGTCACTTCAGTTCCTTTCCTTTACTCTCAAAAACCTCTCTAAAGAGATTTGATGCTTTACAAGTATTAATCAAGGGCCTGTGTTTTTCTGCCTGAAAGATATTAAAAATGGTGTAAATCAAGGATTGACTTGCAAATCAAGTTGTTCAGTTCTAGCAGCAAAAGCTAAGATTACAAGTCTCCAAAGTAGTAGAAGCTTCATCTTGAAATGTGTTTTCTAGTTGTGAACAAACAGCAGCTCAACCACAAAACTAACCACCAAAGGGGCAAAACCCCGTGTTATTGCTTTCTCTCTGAACCTACATATTTCAGTGAAAATGTGATAGCTTTTGCCTTTAAAATTAAGTACAACCTTTGATTAATAATGCATAAGCTGAAGTCTAGCTACTAATGTATTCTTCATGCTACTCTTCCCTCATGCAAGTCTTTGCAGTGTTGAGGCATTGTGTGGCTGGTGAAAGCGAGACTTTTTTTTTTTTTTCCCTGTTGAGCAACTCGGTGCTGCTGTTCCTGGTGTCATGTAACATGGCTCCAGCTTTCTTTGCTATTATCTGGTGAAGAAGCTATACTGTCACCCAGATAAGAAACCTGACATAGGTGTACGTCTTGTATCCTCCTGCTATGTCTATGTAATGTGTATATCTCTCTGCTTCAGGAAGGGATAAAAGCATGGGTAAAAAGGGATAAACATTGGGAGAAAAAACCACAACTAAAAAACAGCTACCTACGAGCAGCATATGAAGAAAAAGAAGTTCAAACATTTAATTAAAGTTTCATGAAAATGGAGAACTCAAGGCATCTATAGGTGTATAGTTAAGTCCTGAAGCTTCTATGGGATATCCATCTTAGTCTAAGAGAAAGTTATAGAAAGGAACAATAAGGTAAACTGCTGAGTCACAGCAACAGATTATTCACTTGATTACTCTGATCATCAAATAGGCCTATCGCAAAATCTGAAAACCGGCATGGCCAGTTCTCAATAGCTGATCAGTCAGCCATCCTTGGAAATACCAGCAGCAGTATACCTAGACTACAGAGTAATTTGTACCTAAACCTTTATTGTTTTCTTGAGCTTGAAATCTCATGATAGCATTTTAAGTAATTAGTCAGTGTAATGAGAATGTGAACTGCTGGATATCTAGATGCAAGTGGCAGAAAACTGTTGTGTTTGAAGGTAATATGAACTTAAGTATGCCAAGGTGGAGTTTTTTAGGGGGCATAGATAGTCATATCTATATCTATAAGGAAATCTTTCTCAGATTTCCTTAAAACGAGTCCTAAAAAATAAGCTGTGTCTCTGACAG